CTGTCGATTGTGCCATTCTGGTCCTTGAGCAGGCCATCCCAGGCTAGGCAGACTCAACTCAGGCTGGGCAGCAGCGTTTCTGAAGTTACCTTGGGAAGGGCATGTGGAGATGGTAGATTGTGTGGTAATGTACTTTTCATTTCCCTGGGTAGGACAGTGGCAAGCACAGACTTAGAGCAGCATACACTGCAGGCAGAGGCCCTGTGTTGTAGCTCCTGGAACCCAAATATCTGAATGCCCAGCATACTTAACTTCTCTCAAAGCACCTGTGGATTCTGGGGCTTGGTGCTCACCAAAATTGAGGGTTGCACTAAAACGCTGTGTCCATTCAAAAAATCTCAGGCCTGTGTTCATCTTCCTACTCTCCTTGCCTCTTATTCAGGATCCACTATAAATATAATTTTTTTACTAAATGATTCCTTTTTTAAAAAAGCTCAGAGGGAACTTTTGAAAAGACAAGAGGCATAACTCTTTTCCACAGAGAGAAGGTTCGCAATCCTGGAGCATGAGGATAGTGTGGGAGCAGAGGCGGCACTGGCCCTGGCCAGAACTTCAATTGTGAATGGAAATTAGGTGGCAGGAGATTCAGGACACCAGAGTCTCAGGTCCCCAGGGCAAGGATCCCTATACATCACTAGGAAAGCCCTCTGACCACGTAGACCCTGATGTTGAATGTGGACAAGGTTTAATCTAAGGTGTGGCCCATCTCCAGAGAAATAGAAGAGGGGCCTGAAGGTACAGAAATTAAGGCCCTTATGGTATTGCAAGAGAAAAAGAGCCCTTCTCATTTTTCTAGGATGTCTATATTCTGGGTAATGCATACAGAAGGGGGTTAATGTCCTGCCTCCCCATCACAAGAATGACAGCCCCTGAGATATATGGAGGGATTTGCAAAGTGAATCCACAAACAATATCAGATTTAATCCTCCTGACAGGTGAGCAGAGGTGAGCACCAGTACTCCATCAGGGATGGAGGCATCCAACACTCCTTTTGTGAGTTATTTTTCCCCTCCACCTCTAGCTAAATGGAGCCTCGAGTGATCTGGTTAAGTAAATCCTGGGGTCTGGCTCAGAGTCAGGCCCACTGGTGGCAAGGGAGGTCAGAACCAGTGGCTCTGCTAAAGCCCCTGCCACGTGCCAGCCAAAGAGCACATCGGCATTTCATCTTCACTGTTTGTGTTAAAAACTTGGCTGCTATCTCCCATCCCCTTGACTTGCAAGCATCACCACCATTCCTCAAAAATGACAGGAATGACCCACTCCCATGTGCTGGGACAGTGAGACGGGAGGCATTGGATCTCCAAAGGCTGCATTGACTATCAGGGTGTGGTTCCAGGAAGCCCAGAGGTGGGCCTCCACCCGCTATGAACCCTTCCAGGATGGGCTATGTGAGCAACCACAGAGCATCCTTGTCTCTAGAAAGACTATTATTATTCATCTCTTCCTATTTAGAGTTAATTCGGGTGCTCCACATACATCGTGAAATTTCACAAAAGTTGGGATTAGGTGCTATAACTATGGGAATGGCAGATAAGGAAACAGAGATGGAGAGTACAAAGGTCACCATGCTGTTTAAGTACCAGAGCCTGGGTGTCAAATCAAGTCCTCCTGCTTTATCTCCCTCTTCCCCCAAGACTTGGGGTTCCCTGGGCCTAAGACAGTCTGTGGCAATTCTCTCAGGTGTGTGAGTGTGGGGGAGGGGTATCATACTCTAGGTCACAGGGTCTGAGGCAGGATTCTAATTGCCTCAGTCCTTTGCTCCAAACCAGTGAAAACAACGGGAAAGCCCATTTCAGTGCAAACCCTCCACCCCTTGGTAGTGCACAATCCCCCAAGGTGGAGGCACAAACCCCTGCAAAGAGATTCTAGACTGCTCTACCTTGGGTTGGAGGACATGGTGGAGAGGACAGTGTTGGGCTGGGATGCTGGTGGGGAACATGTTCATTTACTCCAGTCGGAGGAAGAGAATGCCTGGGTTCTTGGAGAGCTTTGCAAACATGTAAGGAAGTAAGCTTAGGATGTGGGAGCTGGGAGAGAGAGGGAGGAATTTTGGCTCAGAGCTGGAGCAGGGAGAATAGGGACAAATGTTTCAGTGGCTTTGGCCAGAAGGATCCCAGCGCCTGCTCTCTTTTCTCCTGGGCGGAAGCCAATGCATAGGGCTGCTATAATGCGTGGCTTCATTGGTTGGCACTTCTATTTGAGCAAGTGTTTCAAGGTGTGTGTGTGTGTGTGTGTATGTGTGTGTGTGTGTGTGTGTGTGTGTGTGTGTGTGTGTCTTGGTGGTGGTGGTGGTGGAGGCGGAGGTGGTGGCAGTGGCAGTGGTGATGATGGGAATAGGCTCTGCCTTGAAATCCAAAGTAATTGGGGTCTCCGTGCAGGCACAAAGCCTGCACCCCAAAAAGGAAACTGAGAACACGTGCTGGCTACCTGAAGGCTTTCCTTGCTCCTAGATACAGATCAGGAAGCTGAGGGCCGGGCCGGAGGCAGAGGAAGAGGGACTTACTTGTTCAAGGTTACAACACAAAATAGGGGTAGAGCCAGAGCTATGGACCTTTAGTGTGGACTGCCTAGACTGCAGCGTGGGCAAACGACAGCCCGTTTGAAATGAATAAAACTATTGAAGAAAAAGACCGTACCCTTTTATGTAATGATGTTTACTTTGAATTTATATTAGTTCACACAAACACTCCATCCATGCTTTTGTTCCGGCCCTCTGGTCCAGTTTAAGAACCCATTGTGGCCCTCGAGTCAAAAAGTTTGCCCACCCCTGGCCTAGAGTCTGGGGTAGAAGAGAGCTCAGAGCACAGGGTTAGGCCTAATATGAGAGAAAACGCACTCAGATGCTTCCATGTTGGTGACTCTCCCCCCCCCCCCCCCCCCCCCCCCCACAATTTTGCTAGAGAGGAGCGGGTGGGACACACAGGGCCTTTCCTAGACGCCTCCTAGTGTCCAGCACCCAGAGCTGGGAGCTGGGTGTCAGGTGGTGAGTCTCCCCTGGTTGGAAAGCAGGTGGTGTGGTTCTGCTTTAGGCAGCACCGCCTCCTACCGTTCCCGGAAATGTGAATTTGGAGATTCTCAGCTCCTTTTCTGGGGTGGTGGGTGAGGGTGGGCGAGAGGAGAGACCAGAGGTGTACACCAGGGGGGTTCAGCAAAGTCCTGTGGGGTCTGAAGCCCTGAGTTACTGTGCCAGAGGGGGCAGTGTGGGTGGGGAGATTTACAGAGCTCATCTCTGTGGGCATGATTCCGTGCTTTACTCCCCAAACTCCCCATTTTAAAAGAGAAAACTGGGGCAGAGAAGAGAGGTGATTCACCTTGGGAGCCACGGGTCTGTACTTCCCGTCCCCACCACATTGTTCTGACAATACTCTTAGCCCCGCCATAGGTACCAAGGGCGGCAACCTGAGTCACCCCCATGGATCCCTCCCCAACTCCACAATGGGAAGTCCCAGGAGAAGTCAGTGATCGGATAATTCACCGAAATCATCCCTGTACCCAGGCCTCTAATCCACTGGCTGGCTGTCCTCTGCTTCCTTCTGCCTGGACACGCGCCCCAGCCTCCTTCCCTTGCCTCCACCTGAGCGGTATGGAGACGGGACCCATTGCTCTCGATCCGCTTTCCCCGCAGCGCCGCGTCCCAAGGCGCCCCGAAGCTGGACCAGGCTTGGGCCAGAGAGCGCCAGGGCCAGGGCCCAGGAAGGGCGCCTGGGCGGGCGCTGTCCCAGCGGCTGAGCGAGGGCGGCAAGCGCCTCCCCCTCCCTCACGGCGCCAGCACGCGGCCCCGCCGGGCTCGGCTCCCAGACGCCTGCCACCGTCCCGCCGGGCACACGCCTGGGGCGGGATGGAGGCTGCGCCAAGGCCGCCGAGGTGCCTGCGGCAGCTCCGAACAACCAGGGAAGCTCCTCTAGCCCCTCAAGCTCCATCATCACCCCCCCCCCCCGATCCAGCCCCGACTATCTCAGAAAACTCCCTTCTTTATGGGCCCCCCCTCCCCTCCATGGGATCGCAAATTATTTTGGGGGGGGGGGAGGGGCGGACTGCTACAGGCAGCTGGAGTGCATCCTGGGGGTCTTCCCTGACGCACACACCTACCTAAGGGCTCTGACCACCTCCCTTCTCCTGGGCACCCTCCACACTTGCTCAGTTGTGGGGAGCACATCCCCGGATGGGACCTTAGAGACCATCGATCCCAACCTCTGCTGTTAGAGACAGGAAAACGGAGGCTCAGAGAGGATGCCACCTTCCGAGGGCCACAGAGCCGGTGAGAGGATGCATTGGGACTAGAACCGAAGTCTTAGCAGTACTTTAGTTTAACAGTCCATCTTTCTGAACTTCAATCGCAAATTTGCATCAGCTTCCAAGGGCAGCAAAGACGCCCCCCGGAAAGAGAGAGAGAGAGAGAGAGAGAGAGAGAGAGAGAGAGAGAGAGAGAGAGAATGACAGTGGGTAGGAGGAGAAAACGGGAAACATGGAGTCCCACTCCCCTCTAACCTCCACACCACCGGTGCTGCTTTTTCTGCCTAAACCTTCTCCCGTACTTTGCTCCAAGTTCTCAGGAGAATCCCAGGGCATTTCACCCCAAACCTGTCAACCCTTACACCCCAACTCCCAGAGCTATTTGCCCCTCCTGCGACGCCAGCCGCCCCCCCCCCCTTTTCTGGAGCCACCCCCGGCTGCAGCCCGCCGCGAGCGCGCCGCCTGTTTATTCAGCCGGGAGTCCGGCACGCGCCAGGCGCACGCACTGCAACAACAAACCCGGCTGAATGGAGAGTTTGCTTGGAGCGGGCGCAGGGAAGGGGCGGGGGAAGGGGAGGTAGGGGAGTTTAGGGAGTGGGTGGGAGGAGGAGGCAAAAGGAGGGGGGGAGTGGGGGCGGCAGCCGCTCGCTGCAGCAGCGGGGAGTGGGGGGCGAGGCGGGGCCAGGGCTGCGCGTGGGGCTGGGTGTCCCATTGAAAAGGCGGCCGCACTCCGGCCGCCCGGCACTCTCACTTCTGGCCAGGGAACGTGGAAGGCGCACCGACAGGGAGCCGTCCAGGGCGGGCGAGTGAAAGAAGGGAGTCAGACAGAAAGGAGGTTAACAACATAATAAAAAAAAAAACAGCCTGAGCCACGGTTGGAGAGACCGGGACCCGGCGCAAGAGAGCGCAGCCTTAGGGGGAGAGGAACGGGAGACTCAGCAGAGCGCGCTCATCACTGACTTTTGCTTCTTCTGCCTTTTTTTTTTTTTCTTTTTTAAGAAGAAGGCGCTAACGGCAGCCTCACACGCGAGCGCCACGCGAGGCTCCCGAAGCCAACCCGCGAGGGGAGGAGGGGAAGGAGGAGCAGGAGCCGTGGAGGGCGGAGGAAAAGCATTTGCACCTTCTCTGCTCCCATCCTCAACCTCCCGGGGATTTTGTAATTTTGTGAAACTTCCCCGAGCGAGCTCCCTCTTCCTCTCTCCCCTCCTTTCCCTCGCCGTTCGCGCATCCCGGTCCTGCCTGCGTCCCCCTCGCGCGCCCCGCACCTCGCATCCCCGCTCGCTCCTCTCCCGCGCCTCCTTGGCAGCCGCAGCGCATGGAGAGCTCTGCCAAGATGGAGAGCGGCGCGGGCCAGCAGCCCCAGCAGCCCTTCCTGCCGCCCGCAGCCTGCTTCTTTGCCACGGCGGCGGCGGCGGCGGCGGCAGCGGCGGCGGCGGCTCAGAGCGCGCAGCCCCAGCCGCCACCCGCGCCGCAGCTGAGCCCGGCGGCCGACGGCCAGCCCTCGGGGGGAGGTCACAAGTCCGCGGCCAAGCCGGCGAAGCGGCCGCGCTCGTCCTCGCCCGAACTGATGCGCTGCAAACGCCGGCTCAACTTCAGCGGCTTCGGCTACAGCCTGCCGCAGCAGCAGCCGGCCGCCGTGGCCCGGCGCAACGAGCGCGAGCGCAACCGGGTCAAGCTGGTCAACCTGGGCTTCGCCACCCTGCGGGAGCACGTCCCCAACGGCGCGGCCAACAAGAAGATGAGCAAGGTGGAGACCCTGCGCTCCGCCGTCGAGTACATCCGCGCGCTGCAGCAGCTGCTGGACGAGCACGACGCGGTGAGCGCTGCCTTCCAGGCGGGCGTCCTGTCGCCCACCATCTCCCCCAACTACTCCAACGACATGAACTCCATGGCCGGCTCGCCAGTCTCGTCCTACTCGTCGGACGAGGGCTCCTACGACCCCCTCAGCCCCGAGGAGCAAGAGCTGCTCGACTTCACCAACTGGTTCTGAGCTCGGCCTGGCCAGGCCCTGGTGCAAAGCAGGTAGGTGGCATTGGGGAGTGACCTGGGTGAGAGGAGGTTACTTATCTTCATCCCTTGTCCCTCCGTCTTAGTATCTGAGGGAGGGGGACTGTCTCCACGGAGACGCGGGTGGGGGAGATTGAGTCCCAGGATCTGTGCAAGTCAGTCGATTTGAAATCCTGGGTGGTTTGTTTCACTGTTGGCCTCTGAGAGTGGCTTTGCCCAGGTCTCCAAGGACTGGATAGGGGTGAGATGGGGAGGTGGAGAAAGGAGTACTACTAGGGCCTGTCCAAAGAGGCGCTCTACCTGACAGATCCTCCCCTCCCTAAACCTCCACCCGCCCCAGCCCCTCCCCTCACCCCCCCCCAGGCTCCCTCCCCATGCTAGTCTCCAAATACACATTAACGTCTCCCTTTCTTCTCCTTATGTTATAGGGTGACTGCACAACCTGTCTCTTTAGTGCTTTCTCGTCGGTGATGCTGGAAGGGAGAAAAAAAGAAAAAGAGAAGAAAAAAGAAAAGAAAAGCAGGCAGCCCACCCCAACGCCAACCAAGCGACGCAGGCCTGCGAAGCAAGGCTCTCACAAAACAGGGATGCGCTCAGAACTGTCTCGCTGCACTCCAATCATTCACGGAGATTTGAAGAGTGACTAGGACCAGAGTCAAAGTGCAAAACGCTGCTCCTGTGCAAAGGCATTGAGCTCCTGGTGGAAGAGAGCAGCACACGCCCTGTAGGAACTCCCACCCACCACTAGCAGGCAGAGCTGGAGGCGCTGGCTTACTCGGGTGTCTTCACCTCCCCGCCCTCTTTGAAAGCGCAGTTCTTAACCCTCTAGCCAAGGGTTGGTGACTTTCCTCTCAGTATCCCCGTCCCAGGACACTGTGGACTTCGGTCTGCAGCGAAACTGTGCTGTACTCAGTCCTCTGACACCCCATCCTTGGGCCTCCTCCCCACACCCCACTCCCTCACACCATCTTTTCTACCATTTTCATCATAGGATGCTTCCAATCTTTTGTGAATTTTTTTTTATTATAAGAAAAATCTATTTGTATCTATCCTAACCAGTTTGGGGATATATTAAGATATTTTTGTACATAAGAGAGAAAGAGAAAAAAATTTATAGAGTTTTGTACAAATGGTTTAAAATGTGTATATCTTGAAACTTTAACATGTAATGCTGTTACCTCTGCATATTTTAGATGTGTAGCTCACCTTACAACTGCCATTTTCCCTGTGTGGCTTTTGTAACGAACTCTCCTAATAGGGGAGATCAAAAGGCCACCGGATGTACTTAAGCACCAATGTGTCTTACTTTAGAGAAACTTTGTTAATGTATTAATGACGTTATTAAATACTGTTCCAGAACAAAGTTTATGCAGCTACTGTCCAAACACAAAGTGGCAGCCAGTGCTTTTGAAAGGTTGCCTTTTGGGAAATTTCTATCACTGCCTTTTTTTTTCCTTACTGTTTTATTACAAACTTACAAAAAAAAAAAAAACCCTCATGTATAACCCTGTTTTATACAAACTAGTTTCGTAATAAAACGTTTTTCTTTCTTTCTTCCTTTCCTTCTTTTTATACAAGTGAAAAAGTCTTCTTTGCCTCTATTGCCCTGTCCAAGGTATTGAAACTTTAAAGGGAAGGGGTGGGAGAAGGAGAAAAGGGTGGTGCATGGCACTCAGCCTGGCAGAAAAGCTAAGTGCAGCAGATCAGTCCTACCTGAGCTGGCCCTATGATGAATGCAGAGGGGAAAACTACATAGATAAAAAGGATTTTCTTCCCCTTTTATGCTGCCGGACACACTCATACACCCAGAGAATAGGTGGTGGTTGATGATTGCATTGTCTTTCCGTAAAATGATTTACATTTTTAAAAAATGCACCCCCCCCCCCAAGTGAAGTGGAAAGAAGTGGTCCTCTCCCCACTTTTTGACCCTTAACCAACCGCATTCTGAGGTCCTAATTGTGAAACTGCAGACGGGCTGGATGAGATCATAGGTGCTCTGGGTGGGAGGGAGGATGGTGGTACTGAGTCCCCGTGGCTGGTGTGCTGTTCCCTCACTTCCAGGCGCACATTTTCCACTTCTTTGCCCAGGATGCACGCTTTCCATCCCGATTTTAAGTAAAGGGCATGTATGGTATGAATTCCCTGCGGAAGGAACGACATCTAAAGAAAGAAACGCCTTAGAAATGGGGGTGGGGGCGTTTTGAGACACTGGCCTATCTAAGCTGGCGACTCTATCCGAATAGCGTGAGCTGCGTGTAAAAGTACCCAATTACCAAGATTCAAAAAGAAATTAGTGGGGTTTTTGGCTGGCTTGCTTCTTGTCAGTTAGCAAGGACGTGATCGGAATCCCACTCCGCCTCTCGCCGGCGCCTCGCTCCCCTCCTGCGTTACTTGCACATTCAGTTTGCGTGTCTCCAGCCAAGCGGAAAGCCAAGCGCAAAATGCGTCTTACAAAACCCAACAAAGAGCGGAGAGCCGGCACGTCTTCCAGAGTTAAAAATCTAGTCTGTGTTGGTACATCTATACCGTTTAGTGGCACGGAATAATCATTTTTTAAAGCTGCGATGCGCGGAGCACGCCGCAGCGTCTGATGTCATTTTGCTAAATGACCCTCTATAGAATGCACATGGAGGCTCCGGTCCCTTTCAAAGGGATGAGCGTAATTAAGGGGGAAAAAAATCAGTAAATTCCTCATCGCCATAAATAATCGGACTTTCTGCCAGCAGTGGGCCAATTTAGAGCTTACTTCGGGGAAGTAATGCTTTTGTGATGCTTGCTTTTATTTTTGTCTTCTCCTTTGGAGGACCAGAACTGGGCTCCCCACCTCCCTCCTCCCCCCTCACTTCTTTTCCTTTTAATTTAGCTCCTTTGCAACTTTTCAGATAAGGTAGGCAAAGAAAGTGTAGCAAGTCATTTATTGCTATGAATATAACATTGGGATAATGTTTCAGCCCCCACAAAGGGGTCCCCCGCCCTTCTTCTAAAGACAGGTGTTCTTTTACTCACTTCTGAATGGGGAATATCCAGTCTCGTTAAACTTGAGGCAAAGTTAGCCCTTATTTGCCACAATGCGAAGGCAAACTCGAAAAAAATTCACCAAAAAAAAACACAAAAAAAAACAAAAAAACCCCACAATTTTGCCGAAGCTAGGAAAGGGCAAAGCAGGGATTGGGCAAAATCTCATTACATCTGCTCTAATCGCTTAGCAACACAAAGCCTGGGCTTGTGCGGCGAAGGGAAGCCATTCAGGGCGCTGTGACAGGCCGCATTCAGCCGGCATTAGTCAGCCCCATAAATCACTGCTGCCCATTGGCTACACGGCGGGCTTTGGAGCGGGTTGGGGCTGTCAGCGAAATACAAAATGTAGACCCTCGCCGCTAGCAAGCCCAGCCTCTCCCTGGTCCTAGCCGCCCCCCCCCCCCCATTCCACTTTCTTTGGAGGGAGGTGTTGGGGAAGAAAACTTGCCTTGACTTTATTGACTGAGAAATCTTACCTATTCAACCAATGACCCAAAGACCACCGAGTTAAGAGTGGAGACACGCCTAAAATTGATGAGGAGGAGCGGGGAGTGCAGGGAGAAAAAGAATAAACAGACCGCAGAACTGTTGAATGCCAGTATTATCAGAGGCTGGGCTGGAGCTCCTGGGACACACATTTCACCTCCCTGACAAAGCCTTGAATATTTTTTTTAATCGGAAGGAAGAGGGTGTGTGTGTGGAGAAGAATCTATCTCCCATCAGGCAGGGCCATGGAAGAAGAGAGAAAAAAATGGGTCTGCTCTCTGCAAAGGGCGTCAAAGGAATAGGACTGAGATGTAGTAAGAAAGAGTAGAGTGCGCTTTTCCCCTTTGCTGTTCCTGCCGGGCCAGGGATGTTAGAACACAGAACCAACAGCCCAATTCCTTCCGAGCTTCAGGATTCTTGTGGGTACCATGGGCTTGATGGTACCCACAGCAGGGAGAGGGGGCGATGTAAAGGAGTTAGCGCTTGGCCTTTGGGAGGTGGGGGTGGGTGACAAGGTTACAAACTAAATGTAAATGTGAGTGCCTGTTGTTATTTTTATCTCCTGTCCTGTCTCTTTTCTTGGGGACTGGCCAGTTGCTGCCTCTAAATCACAGACTGGCTTTGAGGCTCACCCACAAGCCACATGGGAGTAGCGGTGGAGTCAAGGTAGGCTTTCCTGGGAAGCCCAGGTCAACTTCCTTCAAATGTCACCTCCTCCAAGAAGCTTCCCCTGTCTGCTCTGTCTAAAGCCACGCTCACAGCCACTCTCCATTCATTACGGTGTTTCTCCTTCTTGGCATTTACCACTCTCTGAAAAAAAAAAATGCATGTGTGTTTGTTTATACAATTGCTGTCAATGGCCCCTTACTAGATGGTACACTACATGAGGACAGGAACCTGTCCTGTCTTGTTCACTGGTGTCTCCGCAGCTCCAGAAGAAATAGGTATTTGTTGATTGAATGGATGGTCTGCTCTGTTGCACTGATAGCTGTGTTCCTTCCTTTCCTTCTCCTGATCCACTTTCTGCCCTCTCTGCTCTGCCCTGTGTCTCCAGAGGCAAATCTCCATGCATTTCATTGTTAGGCCTCCCTTGCCCTCTGGCTTCCTGCCGGGTTTATCCACTGGGAGAAGGTTGTGAGGCAGGAGGGACATAGACCTGACTTTTACATCCCTGCTCCTCACTGCTTGGGCTTAGTTGCTTTGGCAGTGGCTTTGCTCCTTGGTCTAAGGCCACACCTCCGTCTGGAGGCTTCTCTCCCACAGCACCAGCTCTTGTCCCTGCAGCTGTTGCAGATGCAGTAACAGCTTCCTCCTCTTGCTCCTTCAGTCTCAGAGGTGGTAAAGGCTCCGCCTTGTTAGTCGTCTGTGGGTGCTGCATCATGCTGACTCCCTTAGCCCCAAGCACACCTCTGTGTCTCCATTAACTGCGTTTCATGGACCCTTTCAAGTGTTCCATCTGCTCCTGCTGACCCTGGCTGGTACATAGGCTATTCTCCCACAGGCGCTCAGGGATGTGCTAGTTTTGAATGAAGATTTTTCTGGAACTCATGGCTATCAGAAGGAAACTTCCTTAGGGCAGAGGTGATGGGGAGCTTGTTCAAAACCTAATGCTGGAAAGTCAGTTCACTTTTTTTGAGCAGGGAATGGCTTACCTGAAAGTTTGCAAAAGAAGTCAGTTATAGTCTTCTCTTCAGGAAAATGAGGGTATCTTCCCTTTTATGGGTCAACCAGTGAACTGGAAAGGAAAGGGCTTTGGAGTTGCCAATGACTATATCAGTGCAAGGGATCATTGCTCCTCAGGACCTTCCAGGAGCAGATAAGAAGTGGTGCTGGGGACTTGCCACCAAGATAAACAAAGACCTACCAGTCATGCCTTCATTCAGCCATTCATTCGCAGGGCCGTGTATGCACTCATTTAAAAATGGAAGGAATATGATGAAATGTAGTCAACTTTTCTAGGAGCTAATTCTCTTAATTTGTATCTTCTAGGGGCGAGCTCTGAGAAGCTTGTTTTATTGCAACCTCTTTGAAAAGCACCACGGGTGCTTCTCTGAACTACGAATGTCCTCAGTCCTATCTCCCCTTTCCTACTCTTGAGAAGTCTGAACTAACTCTCTCTCTCTCTCTCTCTCTCTCTCTCTCTCTCTCTCTCTCTCTCTCTCTCTCTCTCTCTCTCTCTCTCTCTCTCTCTCTCTCCCCACTCCTGGGCCAAGAAATGATTCATTTTCGGATTTCCCTAGAAAGTCCCCGTTATCCGGAGTCAAAGGTAGAAAGGGACGTGGATCCGTTAACGCTAAGGTGCTTTTGCCGCTGCCAAAGCCAAGAGCTGGGCTCCAGCGCAGGTCCAAGTTATATTCCTTCTTCTTTTGTATGCAAGATTAGGTTGTTACAAAAGAGCGTGTGTAGGTTAATGGCAGGAGGCAAGTTGCAGCGGAGAAGCGGGCCGGGAGCGCGTGTCAGGTTTAATGATTTATTCAGGCTGCAGCGCATCGGGGCGCTGATTGGCTGCAGGCATGCGTCCGCTGTCAGCTGCGCGCGCCCGGCCGCGCCCCACTACCTGCCGGCAGGGGTGGCGCCGGTGGGGCGTGGAGGGGAGAGGAGGCTGGGCATCCTCCTAGGTGATGAGCTGTGTGAAAAGACGGAAGAGATAGAAGGTGAGGGGCGGGGGCGGGGAGAGATGAGGGAGAGAAAAAGGAGAAAGAAATTTGGGGAGAAGGGAGAGGGAGAGAGAGAGGACAGAGGGGTGGCTGGAGGGAGAAAAAAGTAAAGGAGAAGGTAAGGAAGGAAAGAGGGGAGGAGAGGAGAGATGGAGAGATAAAGGAGAGGAGAAAAACAAGAGGGAGAAAGTGACAAAAAAACGAGAATGAGAGACTAGAGAGAGAGAGAGTTGGAGAGGGGAGTGGGAGGCGCTTCCAGAACGCCCC